TGCTGTGAAGTGCATTTCTCAACTCTGTCCCCACCACACATTCTCTCACATGCCTTTCAAGTAGCAGTTTAACCCTTTCTTAGCATCATCAGTGTCATGAATGGTTTTCCAGTGGATTTGTCTTTTAAAAGTATTATTGCTAATAATAATAGAGTAACAATTTATTAGTAATTGTTTCTGTCTTTACATTTTGGCACAATTTGAGTACCTGATACTTACTCATTTGATGAATAATGCTGAGACCCTAGTGGGAATCAGGCGCCGTGCTAGTTACAGTGTGAGCAGCAGTCTCTGCTCTCAAGAAAGGGTTCAGCCTAAGCTGGGGTTTATCGGTAAGTAGTTGCAAGATACATGTGTGATTCTAACCTCAGGCCAAGCTAGACAGGAGTATTAGGGTCAGAGCATGAACTGTGGGAAACTGCTTTAGGGTATGCCAGAAAGCTGAAGGCAGAAATTCTGTTCTGGAAAATCTGCTGCTTACTGTCCTTAATGAGAATGATGCTGTTTTGTTCATCAACCGGGTAATGGTGATGTTTATTAAAATTGCTGTTAAATAAAAGCATATAGTTCCAAGTGTCCATCAATAGATGAATAAAGTGTGGTATATATTAGGTTGGTGCAAAATAAATTTGGTTTTTGCCATTCTAAATGGCAAGGTGTTCCATTTTAATAAAGATTAAATGGAACAGCTTTCAGTTATAAAAAAGAAAAGACATACTGACTCATGCTACAATATGGACAAACCTTGAATACATTAAGTTGAAAGAAGGCAGACACAAAGGCCACATAGTGTATAATTTCACTTATATGAGATGTCCAGAATAGGCAGATTCATAGAGACAGAGCATATGAGTGGTTGCCATGGGCTGTCCGGAAGACATGTAACTGCTTTAATGGGAACAGGGTTTTTTGGGGGTGGTAAAAATGCTCTAAAATTAGATAATGATGATGGTTACACAAGTCTGAATATACTAAAAACCACTCAGTTGTACACTTATTTAAAATAATTTTATGGTGTGTGAATTCTATCTCCATGTGAGTTTTTCCAGAATGTAGTAAACCTCAATATAAAAAAGGGCAGTAACTGAATTGTATACTTTAACATGGTTAAAAAGGTGGATTTTATGTTTTATATTTTACCACTATTTGAAGAATTTTTTAAAGACAATAACTAGAAAGAATTGGATTTCTCTTTCTACTCTGGCAGGACCAAAAGAAAAAAATTGTAACAAACCAGTAGGTTAATGTAGTTTGGTTTTGTTTCGGTTTTGGTCAGCTTCATTTAGCCTATGATGGGTCACGGCTTTAAAACTTTTGTCTAGCACCTAGTCAGGCTGATGAGGCAGGATGACTTCTAAAGCTGGGCGTAAGGAGAGCCCTTGGATTACAGAGAACGATAGTAGGTAGGAGAGATGCTAGACTATTCACTACTTAGTCGTTAGTCTTCATTAATCCCTGGGCGGGTAGCCTCTATGTTTCAGGCAGCTGTGGACAGTTGGTGTTTATGCACACACCCAGTGATTTGTTGATGAGACTCTGTGGGCAACAACCACAGCCATTGTATATGCAACCTTGTGCCCAGTGGCCTAATTTGCTTGTTACCTGAAACTGTGTCAAAACTAAATTTTCCAGAAATTGAATCGAAATGTTTACAAAATGTGACATGACAGTGCTCTCTGGCCTGAATGTGCATTTACTTGCCTTACTTTTTATCTTAGTAATTTACTTTGAATGGCTTGGTCTCTGATAACTTTTGCAGATTCTGGTTAACACGAGTTACTAAAATTTGTGAAATAATATACAGTATCACATTGTGTTTCTTGGTACACATTTGAAGTCAGTCAAAACAATGTTTGAGAATGTGTCTGGCTCTTTAATGTCCTACACAGCAGAGGACTTTGTAAAGGATTTCATTTCAATCCTGAATGATCTGTGAGAATCTCGTCTCAGGTAAAAATCTGGTTATATTTTGAGCCACTACCTAATTTAATTCTCTTTGGATATAATTGTTTGCATAAACATTTAATATCTGATTGCATAAGTATATGACATTACCCTCTCTATCCCAATTCCTACCCTCTCTCTTGACACCCAGAAGTTTCTGCAATTGGATTTCCTGTTTCATTGCAAGCCAGTATTGGAGCCTGCATTCCTAGCAGCTGAGAATAGAAATGACAAATAAATAATTATTATTAATTTAATAATAGTGTAAATAGTTCATTGTTCCTACAGATTGCATTTTGAGAACTGGTATTCCTGATGTACTTCATATATTAAAAATGAAGTCACAAGCATTTTAGAGAAAGGATCTCACAATCTCTGCCCCTCTTTACACAAGTCTAGCAAAAGTGAAACTATGTTTATAGCTCCAGCTTTGATACAAACACTTTTTTCAGACAGATTCTAGACCCATGGGAAAAGGCTTCTTTCCTTGTGCTCCTTGAGAACACTCTGTAAAGAACACACTAATGAAAGAATCTAAGGTCAAGAAGAATGAATGCACCTTTAAAATGACAAATTTTATCTTGTTACTCTCCTGCTAAAAACAGTCTGTTGCATTCTATGAGATGCTATGGTGTCCAGATGCCTCACTAGGCCACTCAGGGTCCTTGAATGGCTGCGGTTTGCCAGGCTTTTTCTGCATTGTCATGGTGGTCCTTCCCTTGTTGATACTGCTTGGTTCTTACACAGATTATGTCGTCCTTGCAGCCTTCACCCAAAGTTGCTCCCTCCTCCTAGGGCATTTTGTTTTCCTGCTTAATACCAAGTGTCAGCACGTTAGTAATAAACAGGTATCTCTCTACCATTAGTCAAAGGTGGGAGTTAAGCCTTTCATCTTTGAGCCTTCCCCAGTACCTAACAGGTTTGCTACCTGATTTACTTCATGGGAAGTCCCTCAGAGTATTATCCTGTGTTCTTCTGCCTTGCCTCTTAACAAAAATTCTGCTGTTCCTGATTATTTCCATTTTACCGGTGTTTTGTTCCTTTTCTATCCAGGCAGCATAATTCGTTGTATGAGGCGCCTAGAAGAATTGCTTCGACAAATGTGTCAAGCAGCAAAAGCCATTGGAAACACTGAGCTGGAAAATAAATTTGCAGAAGGTCAGTATCAAATGCATAAGCTGTTTCTAATTTAGACCAATTTTGTGAAGCAAATCTTGAGCCCTGGACCACAACCCAGGAGGACATTTTGGGATGTTCTTCACTGCATTGTCATGGAGAGCTATCTATTAGTGTTTCTATAAAATTTAGTGTGTTGGGGGAAAAGTTGAGATTTTACATATACATCCATTTACATATATTAATTGTACACTACATGCCAGGCATTGTTTTAAGCACTAGGGAATACAGTGAACAGAAAGACACCCATGCCTTCATGGAGTTTACATTCTAGTGTGGGGAGATAGACAATAAGTCAACAATTAAATTTATCAGATGGTGATAAAGTCTATAAGCAGAAAAGACAATAGAATTGGCAGATGGATACAATGGTCTAGGGCCTCCACAGGGAAGGTGGCAATTAAGCCCCTTGGTGTATGCTTAATATACATGAACGCCAGCAAGAGGCCAGTATGGCTGGAGTGGAATGGGCGGTGAGTAAAGTAGTAGGGGTTGAAGTGAGAAAGGAAAGTATTCCATAGTTCCTAGCCGCAGGCTTCTCAACCCTGCAGTGATTGGAGGTGTGGAGCTTGGGAGTGACCTGCCCTAACTTGGACTTTACAAGGTAATTCTTGCTCTTACATTCAGGGCAAGTCTGTAGAGTAGCACAGTAGAAGCAGGGAGACCAGATCAAGAAAGGATGGCTAAACCAAGGTAGTAGTAATGGGGTGGTGTGGGGGGACAAGGGGCATAAGCATGTCTGTAAATAGTTTTGTCATGTCTACTGAATCTTGACCAAGAAAAAGGACTAAGTTAAAGCGTCAAAGAATAGTAACCACATGGTTGCTGAGTCAGTCAATGCTAGTGATTTCTATTAACAACTTAGTGTCCTAAGAAGAGGTTTGCAAAAGCTGGCTTATATTTCCACATTGTTGAGAAATGCAGGCCTGTTTAATGACTCAAGAGTTGAAGTGTAGGTGTCAAAGTTTTAAAAAAATAATTTGTAATCAAAATTTGTATTTGTCCTTCCTAAGCCTAGAAAGACTTTAACATGGGAACTGAAAAAAACAGTGTCTTCTGATACAGGTTGAAAATCCAAGTCTTTGGATTTACATTTCTTCAGACAGTTTAGTCCTTCCTAGAATTTTTTTTTTTTTTTAATTTTTAATTTTTATTATTTTTATTTTTTTGTGGAGACAGAGTGGTATTCACATATATTTCGCTCTTGTTGCCCAGGCTGGAGTGCAGTAGTGCTATCTCAGCTCACTGCAACGTCTGCCTCCCAGGTTCAGGTGATTCTCCTGCCTCAGCCTCCCGAGTAGCTGCGACTACAGGCATGCACGAGCACACCTGGCTAATTTTGTATTTCTAGTAGAGACGGGGTTTCTCCATGTTGGTCAGGCTGGTCTTGAACTCCCAACCTCAGGTGATCCTCCCGCCTCGGCCTCCCAAAGTGCTGGGATTACAGGCATGAGTCACCGCCCCCGACCTAGAATTTATCTTTTAAAACAGTTCTAGATACCGCCTTCCTGACCAGCCCCCATGGAGTATTTCAGAGTCAAAAGAATGGGGGTCTGGCTTCTGTTTTCCACCTCACTGAGGTAGCTGCAGATTCCTCTAGGTGTTCAGCAGGGTGTTTGACTTTCCAGGCTGCTCTCTCACCAGTTGAATCGGGGTTGGTAAACTGGCTTTAAAACTTCGGTAGAGACAAGTTAGTTAGGTGTTTTGTGGTCTTGAAAGTTTAAACCTTACTTTCTTTTCTCTTAGGAATCACCAAAATCAAGAGAGATATTGTGTTTGCTGCCAGCCTCTACTTGTAGAGTCAGCTAAAGGAATGTGAGATTTTAAATTATTCACCACCTGTTTGATTACGGTTGACTACAAATGCCTGCAAGTGTGGATTTGGTTGTCCCATACATTTTAATATGTGTATTTAAATCAGACATCATTCATAGAAAGCATATTACATACATGTTTATACATAAGCATTACATTTTTTAATAAAAATGTATACAGGTGGGGCACTGTTTTGGTGGAAGGCTTGGAGTTTTTTAAATGAATTTAGAGCTATTAGATAACCACTGTGTTAAAGGTAACTATGTACACACAAAGTGGGCATCCAAGAGGCATAGCAGCAGTAGCAGTCTTTAAAGGCTTATACACTGGGAAGAAAGATGCATCCTCTTGCCATGTGGCAATCCTTTTCCTTTAGAAAACAGGCCAGCTTCACCTGGGCACCCCGCTGCCCTTCAAGGCTGGTGATTGCTCTGATAGTGATTCCCCGTTGTTGATGTTTCATGCAGAGTTGTGTGAGAGTCCTCCTCTTTTCTTTCTTTAAAAGAAGTTCTTTCTTTGAAGAAATCCGATACATATACAGCCTACAGTGCAAAACATTTAATTTAGATCAAGTTAAAAACTTGTGATCAACAGCATCCTGAGATAAATATAAACAAAAGGATATACTTTGGGGGTGTACAGATTAAAGCATATAAAAAATTTGAGACTAACTGGGATTTTTTAAAGATTATTCCAAATTAAGTAAGAGTTGCTTTGTTATGTCTTCAGCAAATAGCTTCATTTTGCCAATACTTAATAAAAGAGTTATTTCTACATGTGAATTAGTTTTTTCAATTTATACCCCCCTAAAAAAACTATTTCTAGCCAGAGCTTTTTACAATAAAAATACTAAGATTTTACAAAAATACCAAGTTTTACAAAGAGTAACCTAGTTTTTAACCTGCTGTGTATCCTGAAGTGACTTTTAATAACACTGAGATTCTTGCCCACTGCACAGTTTTCTCACTGGGGATTTTTTTTTTTTTCTATTTACTTATCTAAATGTTTAACAATATCAAGATGTAGGCTGTTGACCTGTATACTTACAACTAATACTGCAACCAGAGCTCCCTGAATGAGTCCAGTCAACACATCACTCCAGTGGTGTTTGTAATCAGAAACTCGAGAAAGGCCCACATAAATGGATACGGCAACAAGACCAAATTGCAGTGTGGGGCGTAAGAGTCTTGCCCAGTCTCCCTTCATCCTGGCTTGAAGATAAAGCTAAAAGAAAAGAATAAAGAGAGAACATAGTTTATTTAACATAACAATGCAAAAGTTTTATATTAAGGAAGGGTTGGCATTTAAAATGGTTATCGAAGTATTATTATATAGGGAACAGGACTTGTAGGCAAACATTCACGTACGCATTAATGCCTAAATGTTAATCCTTTAAAGAAACAAAACTATTGCCCTACTAACTTGTTCAGAAGAATCTATTGTCAGTCTAGCTGTAACACCCTTCAAACTGTATACAAACAAGTGTTTCCTTGTTTATGGTTTTCTAAACAGGATTTCAGGGACACTTCCTCCCCTTGCAATTTGGGTTATAATTCTGATAGTCAAGACCAGTGCTGCCATTGGTTTTTTTGTTTGTTTGTTTTCCTTAAAGAAATGGGGCTTTGCTCTGTTGCCCAGACTGGAGTGCAGTGATGTAGTCATAGCTCACTGCATCCTCAAACTCCTGGGCTCATGCAATCCTTCCATCTCAGCTTCCCAAGTAGGTGGGACTATAGGTACATGCCACTGAGCCCAGCTAATTGTTTTCATTTTTATTTTTTGTAGAGATGAGGGTCTCACTATGTTGCGCAGGCTAGTCTGAAACTCCTCGTCTCAAGCAACCTGCCTGCATTGGCCTCTCAAAGTGCTGGGATTACAGACATGCGCCACCGCCTGACCCAGTATCGTCATTAATTCTGAGTCTTGGGATAAAGTGCTAGCATTCTGGGCACAGGTTGCCCTTGCTCTGGGCAACCTGTGGGACTATTTGATTAATTCACCAAAGAGAGCTCTTCTACCCTCAAACTATTTAACAAGGCAACTGAGACTAAATAATCTGTATTTGCAAGTAATACAGGTTGTAGGTTAGTTATGATCCAGCAAAGAAGTGTATTCTTTCAGTAGTACCTGTACCCCCTTTAAGTTCTATGACTTTTCTGTACACTAATCAGACCTAAGAAATTTCCCTTTCTCGTGTCAGTCTGCCTTTGACTTTGGGTGCATCCCTGAAGATTTTATACAGAAATGATTCTTTTTAGGGAGTCCAATAACAATATAATTTTTAACATTCCCTTTAAAATTCTGTTCAATAATTTATGACTTGTAGACTTAATTAAATGCAGTCCTTAGAAAACAATATACATAGCTCTCCCCATGGACACTGCCTATTTAAAATAGATGACACAAATCAACTCCCAGCTCTCTGGGCACTGCCATGGGTGTTCAGTTCCCAAAAGCTGGCAAAGACCCAGGGCTTATCTAATTTTATCAAGTACTTAGTATAAACCATCTAGTTCTAAAAGAACACACCAGCTGTTTAACTGAGTCTGACTCATCAGCTAGTTTAAGTACCACTGGCTTTCTGCAGAATCGTTATTTTTGTTTGTCGTTCAAGCTGTGAAAAAAGTGAGTTGTAAAATCAAAAGTATCAACTATAAAATGGACTTAAGCTAGTCCCATGCTACTTCCAACCTGAAGGAAACTCAGAGCCAGGACTTCAAGGCCTTTCCTCTTTCAAGATTCTAAAATCCCTGTAGCAATATTTTCATTCTAAGAACCCTGACTTTAACTGTAGGTAGTCTGCAAACTCATATTGAATATTATTTTCTCCAGATTGCTTCCCCAACGTGCCAGTGAAAAGAATTAACATTTACTTACATCATCAGTAATCAACTAAGCTCCAACACTTTTTGTGGGGAAGGGGGGCGGGGCGGGGGGGGGACAGAGTTTTGCTCTTGTTGCCCAGACTGGAGTGCAATGGTGCAATCTTGGCTCACTGCAACCTCCGCCTCCCAGGTTCAAGTGATCCTCCTGCCTCAGCCTCCCGAGTAGCTGGGATTACAGGCACCTGCCACCACGCCCAGGTAATTTTCTGTATTTTTAGTAGTGACAGGGTTTCACTATGTTGGTCAGGCTGGTCTCGAACTCCTGACCTCAGGCGATCTACCCACCTCAGCCTCCCAAAGTGCTGGGATTACAGGCGTGAGCCACCACACCCAGCATGCTCCAACACTTTGAAGTGAAGTCTTTCCCCCTATAAATAGCTGGTTTTCTCCTTGAACATCTACCCAAGAATAGAGGTTTCCCCCATCAGTGAAACTCTGACCATAGACCCAGAAATTATTTCACCGTGAGAGTTCTGGGATTCCCCAGTTGTGGTTCTGTACTTAACCTTGTGCTCTAGGCTTTGGCTTCTCTAGTGACAAATAGTCATGGCCTGAGCGTGCTTCCTATGTGCCCATACTGTGTTTCCCTGGGTCAGGGTACTCGGTGTAGCTCTGTGAAGACTTCCATTTCTGCAGAGCTCAAGAAAGTGGACACCCTGAATTTCTCAGACCTTGGGTCAACTTGAGTTCCACAGCTGACATGCCCAGAAATCCGGACTGGCTTTTCCCCTCCCATCTTGCCAGCAAAAGTTTCCTATATGAGTAGGTTCAACAAAGGTAAAAGGTAGTGTCTTTCTGGTGGCTCTACTTTGATTGTGAGCAAAGCAAACACTTGACATGACTTCCTTTAAAAGAAAGTCCATTCCGTTAGCTTCCCTAACTGCCACTGAAAAGTTGAATGTCTGAAGCTTCTCAGTACTGTTCCATTAGAACTAGATAGAGGGGACATAGCTCATGTTTCAGTGCCAAGGCTAATAGCAAAAAGGCTGTATAGGTTCCTTCCTTAGCAGATTCCACTCTTCTCTCCTCCCCATACATGCCATTTGCCAACCTTATCTATTAAACCCATTCTAGGTAAGGCATTCAGTTACTTCTGTTTTAAGAGTAAGAACTTACAGAGCTCTATGACCAATACAGTGTGTGGTACCAGACAGGCTCAGGAGCAACATGATTACTTTTAAATTCCCCTTCTAGATGGAATTGCCCATTCACAGTCAGTCCTATTTGGACCACATAGCCCTGCCTTCTCCCTGCATACCCACATCTCCCTGCACTGACTAGATGACTTACACCAGGTGTCACCCAGAGATCTGCTGAGCTATATTTTGTCTCTGGAATTTATACCAGAAATATGAAGGTGTTCTCTAATTTCAAAAGTAGTAGGAAGATGCCTAACGGGTACATAAATGGTCGAGGACAGCAAGCCATTTAGTAGAAAACAATGGAGTGGGTTTCAAGATGGCTGACTAAAGTGCCTCTGGTACTTGCTTTCTGCTTGAAGAACCACCAAAACAGTACTAGATAAATCACACTTTGAATAGATCACCTAAGAGAGACTGCTGGAATTTAACAACAGAATGACAGGAAACATCTGAGGCAAGTAAGGAGAGGGAAGCAAGGCAGGGTGCTTGGCAGGGATTGGTTGGGGAGGCTCTCCTATGCTGGAGAAGGGTAAGTGACCTCCAACAGCATCCACATTCCCATTGTGAAGTCCTGCAATCCCAGCCATAGGAGAAACCCTCAACCCACACAAACAGGGAGCCTGGGGACTACGTGATGGCACTGCTCCAGAGAGGGAGCTCATCCCAGCCCTCTCCCCTGCCCCAGTCCTAAGCAGCTACAGCAGGGCACCATTTTGAGAGCCCAGGCCCCAGCAGACTGCATCCTTCTCTGAGGCCCAACAGTCCCTGCATATCCACATCTCTGAAACCCCATTAAAGTCCCCCACCCACAGCTGGGTGCTGCCATAGGGCCAAAGTATACAAGCCACTAGGAGTGAGCCAGCAGAGCCACTACTGTGCATTGTCAAGCCTGATTACAGGCTACCCTGCCCCACAGATACCATCTGGGGCCAAAGTGCATGCTCCCAACCCACCTGTTTATGGCTGCTGCCACAGAAAAACACCCCTACCTACCATGGCCAAGCCCTATACACACCACTGGGGGACCTATCCAGCCTGGCTCCACCTACCCCTGTGCCCAAGCACAACCATCGGGCGTTGGAGGGTGTACTTATCATTAACACCTGAGCACTCCTTCCAGGGACCTCAGGAAGGGACCACCCAACCTGCTGCTACCACCACCCACTGTACCACCTATGGGCCTGGAGACTAGCCACCCAGCCGTCACAGTCACCACCAACACCAGCACAAACCACTTGGGAATCAGAGGGTTGTCCTGCCACTGCCCGCACCACACCTGCTGTCTATGGGCAGCAAGCCCAAGGACCTGCCCACCATGCTACTGCTGGCATCCAAGCAAGCTTCCTGGAGGCCCAAGAATCAGCCCACCTGGACCCTCTAACATCACTGCCAGCATACACTGCCCCGGGGCCCAAGGACAGGCATGCTCAGCCTGCTGCTGCCACTCTTGGGGCTGGAGGATGGGCCCACCTGATGTTCCCATCTCCAGCAAATGCTTCCTTGCAGCAACTAACAACTGCACCTTAAGCTGCTGAGGAAATCACACACAACTGATACTGTCTACAGCCAAAGAAATTGTACTGAGACTACACTAATGCATGCATCTGGAATCAAAGCCAAAGTGATGTACCCAACCAACACCACAGATAGATATATCTTACGGAAAATATCCTCCCCTATGAAGGCAAATTCAAAAAACTGGAAGAAGTGACTGTTAAAGCAGATGTACAGATACCGAAATATGGATTCAAGAAACATGAAGAAGGAAATACGACACTTCCAAAGGAACATGGTAATTTTCTAGCAACAGATTCCAATGAAGAAATGTGTGAAATCTCAGAAAAAGAATTCAAAATAATGATTCAAAAAAAATTGAAAAAGCTCAGTGAGATACAAGAAAACACAGAAATCAGAAAAATAATACAAAGAAATCAGAAAAACCATTTAGGATATGAATGAGAAACTTCCCAAAGAGCTAGATATAAAAAAAATTTTCTGAAACTGAAGAATTCATTGAATGAAATGCAAAATAGATCCAACAGTTTCAACGATAGACTGTATCAAGCAGAACTTTATAACTTAAAAATAGGTCTTTTGAACCCAGACAGATAGAAATAAGAAAGAATGAGCAACAGCTATGTGACACCATAAAGTGATCAAATATTCAAATTTCTGGTGTCTCAGAAAACAAAGAAAA